TCCGCCTCCTTCTTCTCCTCCTCCCTCCTCCTCCTCCTCCTGGAGCCGCTGCCAGGGGGCTCTGGAGCGGCCGCCTGCTACATACAGGATCCGACGGCGCGCACGACCCTGAGATTCCTCCTCCTCCTCCTCCTCTTCCTCCTTCTCCTCCTCACTCCTCCTCCTCCTGCTGCTGCCCCTCCTCCTTCTTCTCCTCCACCTCCTCCTTCCCCTCCTCCTCCGCCGCCTGCTCCTCGTCGTCCTCCTCCTCCTCCTCCACCTCATTCTTCCTACCTCCGCCTCCTCCTCCTCCTCCTACCCCTCCTTCTCCTTCTCCTCCTCCTCCTCCTCCGCCTCCTCCTCCTCTTCCTCCTCCTCCTCATCCTCCTCCTCTTCCTCCTCCTCCTCGTCCTCGTCCTCGTCCTGGTGCTCGTTGTCCTCCTCGTCCTCATCCTCCTGCTCCTCCTCCTCCTCCTCCATCGCCACCTCATCCTCCTCATCTACACCTTAATACCATTACGATTATCATTATTACTATTCGTATTCTTCTTGCTCCTAATCATCATCAGCATCATCATCATCATCACCAGCATCATCATCATAATCATAATCATCATCATCATCACCATCATCATCATCAGCAGCATCACCATCATCATACTCACTACCATCAGCACCAGCATCATCAGCATCATAATCAACATCATCATCAGACTCGTCAACATCATTATTACTATCGTCGTCATCATTACCACCACCAGCACCATCGTCGTCATCATCACCACAGTCAGCATCATCACCCTCATCATCCTTATTCTTCCTGGCATCACCATGGTCTTCATAATAATCAACAACAGCATCATCATAATCACCATCATCATCAGCATCATCATCACTAGCATCCCCATCATCATCAGCAGCATCACAAACCTCATCATCACCATCACAATCACCATCACCATCACCACCATCATCATCATAATCATAATCATCATCATCACCATCATCATCATCACCATCATCATACTCACAACCATCAGCATCAGCATCAGCATCAGCATCAGCATCAGCATCTGCAATTCTTCATATCATCATCATCAACATATAATCAATACTCAACATCATCCTTCATCTATCATATCTTCATCATCATCATCATCTATCATCATCATCATCCTCATCTTCATCATCATAATCCTCATCCTCATCTTGCTTTATCATCTCATCTCATCATTCATATCATCAGTCTCATCTTCGCTGGTTCCTGCGGCTCCCTGCCAGCTTTATGGGTTCGCGCGTAACGCTGCCTCCTCAGCCCTCACCAACGACGGCAGCAGAAGAAGCGCAGAGCCAGAAGAGACATACGCAGGAGCACTCCCGCTCGGGACAGGCGCCCTGGCAGCGACCGTGCACGCATCCACATCCGACAGAAAGCGCCGATCGCGCCTCCCGCACGCCGAAGCCTCAGCCGATCGACGACAAAACGCAACCATGAGGTCCCGCTTCGCAGAGAACTTCCTCTCCGATCGTCTCCTTTTTCATCCATCATCATCATCTTGAGCATTCTTTCTCGTCCTCCTTCCCTCATCTCGTCATCATCCTCTCCTTCTCCTCCTCTTCGTCGTCCTACTCTCCTCACACTTTCCGCCTTCTCCTCCTCCTCCTCTTATTCCTCCCCTCATCATTCCTTCTTATCCTCCTCCTCCCTGGTCATTCATCCTCATCACTCTCGTATCCTCCTGTCCTGCATTCCGCCCCTTCTCTACTCCTCCTACTTCCTCTCCCCTCGTTCTCTCTCCCCTCTCGTCGCTCCCACTCCTCCCCTCCTCATCCCTCTTGGTCCTCGTCCTCGTCCTCGTCTCGTCCTTGTCCTCGTCCTTCCTCCCTCCTCTCCTCCTCCTCTCTCCTCTCCTCCTCCTCATCTCTCTTAATCTCCTCCTCCACCTCCTACCACCACCAACCACTTCCTCCTCTCCCCGACTCCTCCTCCTCCCTTCTTCTCTCTCCTCTCCTCCTCCTCCTCAGCCTCTCCTCCCTCTCTCCTCCTCCTCCTCCTCCTCCTCCTCCTCCTCCTCCTCCTCCTCCTCCTCCTCCTCCTCCTCCTCCTCCTCCTCCTCCCCCGCGCCTCCCCCCAGGGGTTGCGGGGGCTGTGCTCCCTGACTTCGGATCTGTCGTACTGTGGGCGATGTTTACACTTCGGCAGAAAAGTCCGCCCTATTTCTGGGGCTCCTTTAGTGCCGATGTCCGCCTCACCTTGCCGTCGCTGTGTCCGCCATACCTTCGCGGAAGTAGCCCCCCTACTTTTCTGAGGCGGAAATTTCTACCCAACTATGTCGCATGTTGGAAAATCAACCAAGGTACAGCGGATCTGGAACCAGGCCGTGCGGCGACCTGAAGATCGCACGAGGCCTCACCGAACGGGCTGTCGCCGCACGGCTCTGGGACCTTGGAGGCCCCAGTCGCCCGAGACATCCTCGGAGACCCAAACCAAAACCGTGCGGTCAACCCGAAACCCCGAAACGTCAAAACCGTGGGCTTACCATCGAGCACAGGACACTCATTTGATGTATCAAACCCACTGGTCCATCCCACTGGGTGTATCAAACCCACTGGGTACTTTGCTCGTTGGTGCATCCCACTGGATGTATCAAACCGTGCGAAGGCCCCAAGGGCCTAAGACCCAAAACCGTGCGGTCAGTCCGAAACCCCACTGGCTCACCTCGCGGGGGGGTCACCAAGACGTTTGGGGGCCCACGAGCCTGGCTCGGGGCCGCGCGGGGGTGGCTCCGGGAGCCCGGGGCCTGCAGCAGGGAGTGCTCCTTGCAGGAGGAGGGCACCGCCGCGATGTGCCAGCACTGGTCCTGGCCAGGCCCATCCTGGGTGCCCGATCGGTGTTCACACCAAGAGATCCGAGGCTCCGGTTTGAGGCCACTTTCGGCGTCCAGGGGGCCCGCAACGGGCTCCTCGACTGTGCAAACACTACTCGGGATGAAAAGCTGGCCCTGGGGGAGGGATGCAGATCTCCAGGGGTCCACGCATCGAACAAATTGGAGCGCCAGATGTCTGGGTTTCCTTGCCATCGGACGTCTATTCCACGTGCACGTTTCGATGTCGTGCGTGCTTCTTTTGCTCGATGATCTCGATGATCAAAGATGCTCCCCGATGGTCCCCGCCGAGAAAAATGCACACGTCCGAGCGATGCCAAGGATACGGGTGTACGCCCTCCTGGCCCCGCAGGAAGGCGGAGTATACCGATCCTGGTCCCAGGATTGGCCCGGCCAGGACCGGTGCTGGAGAATGGCTGGCGTCCCCCCCGCTCCTGGCCGAGGCGACGCACTGCGCACGCATCCATGGTCGGGTAGCGCTCTGCAGCGGATGCCAGGGAGAGGAAGCTGGCCAGGGGGAAGACTCGCATCATGATCGCCGCCTTGGGTGCTCCTCGGGTCTTATACCTCGTATCGGCGGTGCGACGCCACACTGACACTGTGAGAGGATGTGGCTTGAGACAGGGGCTACGGACCCTCTTGCTGACACGCACCAGTGCAGCCCCCCCCACACACACATGTCCTAGTTATCGCTTAAGAGCACTGTTTGACCCTCTGGCACCGCCAGCTCCGTGCGAGGGATTGGCCTCAGAAGATCGTAACTCGCCCCCCAAATATACAAGAGGCAGAGGGAAGAGGGAATCTGTAGAAGGATGAGAAAGAGGAGAGGCAGGAGGAAAATGAGGAGGGAAGGAGGAAGTAAGGAGGCACGCCAGCCCAGTCAAAGTCGAGCTGTGCCTTCATTGGGTCAATGTGAAGCCCCGTGGGAAACCTGGGGGCCAACTTGCGCCCGACCTGGGCGATCGCCGCCAAACTTTACCTTCCTGCTGCACCCTTGCTGCTCGTATGTTTCCATTGCTCACGCGCCCCCTTCTTCCCGCTCTTCCTGCAGCGCCCACCACCCTGCTGTTCCTCATGCTACCCGTGGCTCCCGTACCGTACCTCCTTCCGCCCCTTCTGTGCTCGGTGATCCAGTTATCAGATACTCTTGAGGTGTGCGGAATTGGCCACGAGGCCTGAGCAATCAGCGGCCCTAATGTGCCGACCATCGGGTCCCAGTGTCTGCAATACCGCTGAAAAAGAAGTATAATAATGATGATCACAATAATACTAAGATGGAGGAGGAGGAGAAGGAGGAGGAGTAGGAGCAGGAGTGAGGAGTGAAGAGTGAGGAGTATGCGGTGGTGGTGGTGGTGGTGGTGGTGGTGGTGGTGGTGGTGGTGGTGGTGGTGGTGGTGGTGGGGAGGGGGAGGAGGAGCAGGAGGAGGAGGAGGAGCAGGGGAGGACGGAGGCAGAGGACGAACATGAGGATAACGAGGATGAGGAGGACGACGAGGAGGAGGAGCAGCAGGAGGAGTGACGAGTACAGCACTGCACCGCGGGTCGAAGCATCGCAGACAGCCTTTCGCTCGCGCCTCTCCGTCTCACAGCCAGGCCACGCTGGGGGTCACCAGCGCCCGGCCAGCGGACTCCCACGACGCTCGCCGCCCGCGCCCGCTACCCAGAGCCCGCTCAGATGTCCTTCTTCTGCAGGGAGGGCGGCAGCGACTGCTTGAGCTTCTCCGCCTCTGGGCGGCCCGCCGCTGGCCGCTTCCCTCTCTTTCACTCTCTGGCCCTCTGCTCCCTCCCCCCACCTGCCTGCCTCTCCCCCCGCTCCTCTGGGAACGCGGGGGGGGGGCCGGGGTGGATCGGACTAGTGGGCGCGACAGGTGGGCGGCCCGGCCTTGCCCTTGTCGCTCATGATGAGGGTGTACAGGTACTTGGAGCACCGGACCTTGAACTTGGTCTCGACGCCGTTCTTCTTGATCTTCACGGACCGCGCGTCCTTGCGGCGGGCGATCTGCAGGAAGGACCGGATCTCGGTGATCTGCTTCGGCATGTCTGCGGTGCTGGGCGAGGGCAAAGCAACGCTCGCGGGGAGGTGGTCGCCGCGTGCCGCCGCTGCGCGATCCGTGCGTGGCTTGAGCCGGAGCGACTACGGAAGGCCGTTTTCTATTTGTCTGTGCCCCGAGCTCTTGGGGGGAAGAACGGGGTTGGGAGGGGAGAGGGGATGGTAGAAGACCTTCACTGCGACCGCAGGTCCTGAATCCCCCGTTTTACCCCAAGATCGCAAGGAGGAGGGGCGGAGGGAGAGGAGGGGGGGGGGGCAGAGCAAGGCTGGCGGTCGGCAGCGAAGGTCTCACTGTGGAGGAGTGGGGGGGGTAGGGCGAAGGAGAGAAGGGGAGAGGGCGAGGAGTCTGTCGAAGCGATGGGGAGGCCCTGGCTCCACCACGCGCGCGCGTGCGGGGGATCTTGTTGGTACCTTCTATCATTCCAGGTCAGACCCGCAGATCGTCCAGAGAAGAAGAGCCATAGCACCAGCAAGCACATAACAAAGCATTTAGCTGCCACGGCAACGCACCAATCCACTCATGTACAATGCATATATATATATATTTATATATATTTATATATATATACATGTGTGTAGCCTGTACAGATGCACGCACGTAAATACACATACCCAGGTGTGTACATAGCATTCATGTGTGTTTTGCCCACTGTATGTGTACAACATGTGTAAGACTGCGTTGGCATTCCGCGCCATCACATTCGTCCTTCAAGTTGAACGCAAAGGAGGAATGAGAGACAGAGACAGAGAGATACAGAGAGGGAATGGCCTTTGTATACATATCCATATATATGTATGACAGGAGAGATAGAGAGAGAGGGAGAGAGAGAGAGAGAGAGCAGGAAAGAAGGAACTATAACGAGAGTGCTACAGATAAATCCGCCGGCCCCCTTGCGGGGCCATCAGGCTGCGAGGCTTAGGCTCTCTGCTCCCTGCTCCAGCTGCAGGTTCCAGTTCCCACTGCGATAGTTTCACTTTCTGCTTCCTAATGTAAACTGTTACTGTCCGCGCGAGGGGGGGGCGCTCCAAACCGCCCGGTTACCACGCCAGACTCACACCCTCAGAATGCCTGGCGGAGAGTGGGAGATGCACAAACACTTGAGATTCGCGCCCCCGGCCATAGTCCCTCGTAAATTACATGATGTTCGCGTCCCCGAGGCCACACACCCTCGTAAATCATATAATGTGTGCGTCCCCGAGGCAACCAACCCTCGTAGATTACACAATATTCGCGTCCCCGAAGCCATACACCTTTGCAAATTACGCCGAATTCGCACTGCCGAGACCAAGAGTGCTCCAAGGCGCCCGAAGATGGATCCGAGCGGCCCAAAAGGGCCCAAAGAGGCCCCAAGAGCGCTCCAAGGCCTCCCGAGAGAGCCCCAAGAGGCCCAAATCGTAGTTGTTACGAAAATGTTTGAAGGATAATGGCCTTCTCGTGTTTTCTGCTTTCCGACGCTCCAAGAAGGCTCAAGAAGCTTCCAAAACAGAGAGAAAGACAGAGAGAGCGAGAGAGACAAAGCGAGATATTATATATCTGTATACATGTATAAATAAGACTGCATGGCGCTTCGCGCCATGCACCTTGGGCCTTGAAATTTGGCATGCAGGCGGAATGGCAGGACGGCCAAGCCGACAATTTAACGATAATTCCTTGTTGCCTTTTCCGGCATCGCCGTTATAATACTGTCATTCGTTATCCTTCCTCCATGCTTCTTTTTCCTCATTCTCGCTATACCCTGCGCACTCTCCCCATCCTCCTGAGCTCTTTTTGCGGAGGCTCCTCCTTGGAGAGCCTCTTTCTTAAGGCTTTCTGGCTTTCTGGAGGCCTCCTGGGCGTGTTTTGGGGGCCTCTGGGGGCTTCTTCGGGCCACCCTGCCTCCAACCGCGGTCTCCCTGAACGACAGGGTCACGATTTGGAATGCTTCGGAGGGTGTCTTGGGGCCATCTTGGGCCACCACGGGGCTCTCTTAGGGCCATCTTGGACCCCTGTTGTGCCGTTTTGGGGCTCTCTTGGACTGCCTGGAAGCCCTTTCGGATGGTTGTGGGGCGATTTGGGAGCCTCCCAGGCAGCTTCGGACGCCCAGAAGACCGCCGTCTTGGAGCGTCGGGAAGCCGAAAAGAGGATAACCCCAAAATATTCGAAAAACCATAAGAGAATGAATTATTGTTGCCTCTTAGGGCCTTCTTGGGAGGAGTGCTCTTGGAGGCCTCTTAGAACGTTTTGGAGCGATCTTTGGGGGTATGACGGCTTCTTGGGGGTCGTCGTGGACCGTATTGGGGCTCTCTGGGGTCGTTCCGGGAGCGCGCAAGAACGCCTGGAACCCGTCTGGGACCGTCTTCGGGCTCTCGTGAGGTTCTCCCGGGTCGTCTGAAGGGTTGCTCAGAGGCCCTGGGAGGGCCAATTCGTTAGGGGGGGGGCTTTTTCCGGCGTGCCCGGCCCTATAAAAATACATGGATAGGAATAGAGAGAGAGAGGGAGAAGGAACAAAGAGCAGCGATTGGTGTGGGGGGGGGTGCTGGGGGGAGGCTGGCCATCTACGTGTGTGCATATATATATATATATATACTGAGAGGGAGATAGAGAGAATAGAAAAAGGGAGAGGGAGAAAAAGACCGAGAGAGAGGGAGAGAGAGAGAGAGAGAAAACACATGATCGACCCACGAACCCGGAAAGGAACATAGAAATGTAACGCATGGCAAGGTTTCAAAGACACTTGATTGCGCGACAGGCAAATGCAATACTGAATGTATCGATGTTTATGTACCGTGCCGAGAGCTGTGCTGTGCTGCGCCGTGCTGACCGCGGGACGTGGCAAGGGGACGCGCTACGGAACGTGCCAATGGACGTACCACAGACGTGCCAGGGGACGCGCCGCACGACGTGCCAGTGGGACTCGCCACGGGACGCGCCACAGAAACCATGCGTCTCGCTCGACACGTCCTCAACACATCCTCATACTAGACATCCGCCTGGGCGACCTGGACACGCGAAATTAAGCGTCTCGATCGAGACTTCCTCAACACATCATCATGCTAGACATCTGCCTGGACGACCTGGACGCGTAAAAACAAGCGTCTCGCTCGAGAAATCCTCAACGTATCCTCATGCTAGACATCTGCCTGGGCAACCTGGACGCGTGAAACCAAGCGTCTCGCTCGAGACATCCTCAAGATCAGGGCACGTGAAAACAAGCATTTTATTATGCGGGTTCACGCTTGTCCCGCACCTGGGCGTTAGGAATCCATGTGCTTTCACGCTTCTCCCGCCCTGGAGCGTTAGGAACCATGTGTTTTCAGGCTTGCCCCGCCGTGGGGCGTTAGGAGCCCATGTGTTTTCGCGCTTCCCCCGACCTGGGGCGTTAGGAACCCATGTGTTTTCACGTTTGACGTTTGTCCCGCCCTGTGGGGCCTCCTGGGGCGTTAGGAACTCATGTGTTTTCACGCATCTCCGGCCTGGGGAGTTAGGAACCATGTGTTTTCACGCTTGTCCCGCCCTGGGGCATTAGGAGCCCATGTGTTTTCACGCTTCTCCCGCCCTGGGGCGTTGGGAGCCGATGTGCTTTCACGTTTTGTCCTGCACTGGGGCGTTAGGAGCCCATGTGTTTTCACGCTTATCCCGCCCTGGGGCGTGTTTCGCTCGAGACATCCTCAACAAATTATGAACAACAAGCGTTTCGCTCGGGACATCCTCAAACATAATTCCGCCGGCCCTCCTCCCACTTGCCATTTACCGCAACTAATTCCGCCGGCCCGCTTCCCGTCGATTCCGGGGGTAAAGAGCTACAAGAGAACCCTGGGCCCGCGCCCTTTGCCGGAAAAACAACAAGAAACCTGATCGGACAAGAACGGGAAGCGCCGCTTTAGTCTATTGGGCGTATTAGGCGAAGAAGAAAAGGAAGGCGAGGACAACGAGGATTCGATGACGAGGACGACGTGGCGAACGTGAGGATAGCGCGCAGGAGCATGAGGACAACGAGGAGGAAGAGAAGCACAAGGACGATGACGAAGAGAACGAGGGCGAGTACGAGGACGAATGCGGAGGGCGACGACGACGACGACGACGACGACGACGACGACGACGACGAGAGACAGTACGAGGCAATTGGAGAAAGACGTTGCTCCTGGCGCCGCGCGGGGTTCTCTTGGGGCCTGTTGGGGGCTTCTTGGGGGCCCCTTGGGTCCTCTTATGGGCTTCTGGGGTCTTCTTGGGCTGTCTGGGCGCGTCGTGGGGTTCTGTGGGAGCTTTCTTAGGCCGTCTCGGCGCTGGGGGCCTCCTGGGGCGCTCCCGGGAGTCTCTTGGGGCCTTCTTGGCCCTTCTTGGGCCGTCTTGGGGTTCTTGTGAGCTGTGTGAGTGGCTCCTACAACGCTTTTGGGGGTCTCTGGGGGTCTTCTTGGGGCGCTCTTGGGCGCTCCTGGGGCTCTCCGGGGCTTCTATTGGGCCTCCCTCAGGCCGTTGGAAAACACTCCAAGAGCGATTCGAACACGACGTCGACGTCTTGGCGTTATCTTGGACTGTCTTAGCGTTATCTTGGACTGTCGTGGGGCTCTGGGGGCCTGATTGGGGCCCGTGGGGAGCATTTTGGGAGCCTCTTGGAGGCTTCTGTGACCCTCTTGGACTCAGGCGTCTCTCGAGGGTCTGTGGGGGCTCTCTTGGGCTGTCTTGGCGTTCTCTTGGACCGTCTTGGGGCTCTCTTGGCCAGTCCTGGGGCCTCTTCGCGCGCTCGGGGGGGCCTCTGGGCGCCTCTTGAGGGCCTCTTGGGGGTCTCTTGGGCCGTTTTGGGGGTCCCCTGGGGGGCCTTTGGGAGCTCTCTTGGGCAGTTTTGAGGCCCTCCGGGAGCGACTCCAAGATAATGCCGGTTCGGAGTCCCCTCCAGAGCCGATTTTTCGAGGATGTCTCGAGCGAAACGGCCATTTTTCCGGAACCTGACCGGACAAGAACGGGAAGCGCCGTTTTTTATCCACCACGTGCGTCAGAGACCGTATTGGCGAGAACGTCAGAGAAACCCATAAACGCAACAGAACAGACTAAATGGTGGCCTGCCGCGCTGGTCTGTCGAGGTAGTCTGCTGCCCTGGCCACATCATGG